GCCTGTCTATAACATTCACGCTTCCTGCTCCATTTCCCAATTCGTGCTTTAGCTCTGTTGAGCCCAAACCCAAACGTGACTCTTCGTCTCCCAGGGAATCTTTTGATCCTTATTTTGTGTCACCCAGTGATCGCAGCGGCCCACACACAGAAGGAGGAGCTGACGTGAATCCGAGAGGGTCAGCCTGCCAACTCCCTCCGGCACCGCACAAGGTTCCCACGCCGAGCCTTCCGAAGGTCAAGGCCCAGCCGGCCAGGCCGGTAGGATTCCACGCTGGGGCTGAAGCCGAGGCCGCCCCGGCTGCAATCCCACGCAGCATCGTCCCCTAGCCTCATCCCCAGGCAAGTCTCCTTCACTTTTACTTACCAGCTAGCAAAACAGGCTTTGAGGCTTCCGCAGCAACGGCGGCCCAGGCCGGAAGATGGACCTTAGCCCAGGAGGAAACGCTTCCGGTGTCAACCAGCCTCACTCTTTACGGAGACCGTCTAGACGCCCCGGAAGGACATCCTGACCTGCTCTTTCTTCCACACTTTGTCCGCTCCTGGAATGACAGAAAGACGTCAGGATACCGGCGAGCTGGTCTTTTCTGGCAGTTCCCGCCCTTATGTGAAGCTAGTTATAACGAGTGAAGAACGCTCAAGACCGGAACCGCAGACCAGCTGAGCAGCGGGGCCGAAGGAAAGGACCTCGTGGCTCAGTTTTGGGCTGGCCCCAAACTCTGGGTGCAACTCCACCACCTTATCCACCCTCCCCTCCTCACCTGCTTCGGACAGCCTGTCACTAAAAATGTTTCTATGCGCCCAGTTCAGAAAAGATTTTTTTCTCTTCCTTTGGGTGATGGGAACTGAACATTGGGCCTAGCGAATGCGAAACACTGCTTTGCCACTTACCCTTCAAAACTGGCTTAGACCGAAATCTCTAAACTGTTCCTCAATTAAGTTGGGAGCCAGTTGGAAATGAATTCTCTTCAAAACTGAACCTACAACCTACATCGAAATATATGCTACATCAAGGGAGGGGATTACTTAGGACAATATGTACCTAACTTTGCATTTGCAGAGTGAAGATTTTTGTGTACCTGTTGCCAGAGCCCGGGCTGCTGGAATGCTAGGCAAGCACTCTCCACCAGTGATTCACACACATCAGCCCTGAAACTGGGGTCCTTTATTCTCAGCAGCTTCATAAAGCAGTAACTGGTTCTACTAATAATTTCTGGTTAACCCACACTTTCTTCAAAAGGCAATCTCAAAATTTCTAGTGCTGAGGCTCAAACCCAGGGTCTTTGCATGCACTTGCATCCTTAAGATATGTTTATAAAAACAGGCGGTAGTGGCGCATGCCTTTAATTCCAGCACTCAGGAGACAGGGACAGTTGGGTCTCTGTGAGTTTGAGGCTAGTCTGGTCTACAGAGTGAGTTCCAGGACAGTTAGCTAGGGCTGTTACACAGAGAAACCCTATCTTGAAAAACAAAACCAACAGCAAAAAATTAAAACATTCTTGAATTTAAATCCAAGCAACTGAGAAAGGGAAGACAGTAATAAAATAAGTCAATGACACAGTTTAATTGTCACACTTTTATTAAGGAAACTTTCCCATTTTAAGTAAAGAGGTAGTTCAAAGTATGTCTAACATACAACAGATTTAGAACAGCCATTCATGAGCTGAAATCAAATGTTCTGAGTTGTTTGTTTAGACAGTATTTTAGAAATGGTGACACTAGTCACCTTTCACACCTAAAGCAAAACCACACCTGCTTTACCTCACAGTCACTTCAGTTTGGAGCTCATTTTAATATTAAATAATAAATAAATAACATCAAATTTTAAAAGACCAAACTGCAGTAAAGAGAGTCCTCTTCCTTTTGAAGATTTCCTAGGAATCTATACAACACAAATATTGAGCCCAGCACTCAGGAGGCTGAGGCAGCAAAGGGTACAATAGTGAGATCCTGGCCGGGCGGTGGTGGCGCACGCCTGTAATCCCAGCACTCGGGAGGCAGAGGCAGGCGGATCTCTGTGAGTTCGAGACCAGCCGGGTCTACAGAGCTAGTTCCAGGACAGGCTCCAAAACCACAGAGAAACCTTGTCTCGAAAAAAAAAACCCCCCCCAAAAAAATAGTGAGATCCTGCCTGCCTCCAAAAACAAAACAAAACAAGACAAAAAACCCAAATGCTGGGTAACTAAGATTTATACCCTGACCCCATATAATCATGACTAGTGTTAAACCTCTTCCACTATAAAATAACTTGACCTCTTTGCAATTAAATCTGAGAAATGTGTAAGAACCCTAGTCCCAAACTGACATGTCTCACACAAATGAGACCTCTCCAGGCAAGAAATGAAAGACCATAAACTAGGTAAGAGGTTTGCAAACAGTGAGAAGTGAAAATTTTAGTAACAGAAAACACTTAAGAAAACTAACATTACATCAGTGGTTCTCAGCCATATAGTTCCTTGTAATATAAATATCTGTGTTTTCCAATTGTCTTGGGTGATCCCTGTGAAAGGGTCATTCAACACCTCCCCACCCCCAAATTGGGCTGGAGACCCACAGGTTGAGAACCACTGCTTAAAATGCTCAGGAAAAAAAAGGGGGGGCAGCCATTCTTAGTTATGAAATAAATTGAGGACCTTGTCTCACTAAAATCACTTGACACTGTAAGTCCTATAACAACAAGGATGTATCAATTCCTATCCTCAGAATCTAACATAGTGCCTGGGAATACCAGTTGCTTATTAATGTTTCTTGAGGCTATGGGAGTAGCTCAGTGATAGAGAACATGGTCAGTGTGTTTGTGGTCTTGGGTTCAAACTCCCAAGCATTTAAAAAAGAAAAGAAAAAAAAAAGGCTTCTGGGTGACTGAAATAAATCAAGATATAGCCTCCAACATAAGAGGTCAGTATTATTTGAACCCATTCTGTTTTTAGTCTTCAGACTACTAACAGCAACCAGACAAGAAAAACAACATGTATAGCCCCATTATTTTGAAATGTTCTTATGAAAAAAAATTCAGAGAAAATATTCAAAACATTGGATGACATAGCAGAATCCCATTGTTGCAAAGAATCGGTGCTCTTTGGATGAATAATTAAAATTCAGAATTCTAGTAAGCACTATTAGACTATACAGTGAGTGATGTTGAACATAAAGTACCAACAAGTCTTATTAGTCGACTGTATTCTATTTATTTAGTAGAAATTATGCCTCAAATCTGAGCCATGTGTAAATATATCAAATTATAACAAATTAATACCTCTTGCCATCTATATATAAATTAAGTTTAACTTTTGAATTATCTGTACATGTAGTCTCATAGCTCAAAACCAAGTCTGGTGGAATAAAATTTCTCATATAAATTTAGTTTCACATTTGGATCGATCTCACATATTCTAATTTGCCCTTCCCTTCATACCTAAACCAGCTAGTCATTTAGAAATAATACAATATTCATTTATCTAAAAAAAAAATAACAGGCTAGGATTGTAGTTCAGTGGCAGGTTCAGTGCTCGGCTAGCACATGTGACGCCCAGCACCACTACAATAAAATAATTACGTTTATTTAGGTCTTAGTGCAGGCTGGCCTTTAACTTACAGCAACCCTCCTGCTTCAGCTGCACAAGTCACCAAAATAAAATCAGTTTAAAAAAGTAATTATCATAAGTCCTTCTGTAACATTTTGTTGGCAAATCCTAGGCTGTCTCCAAAAGCTAAAAGGGAAATACATTAGTGAAGCAAAACTAGAAAATTTCTGTTAATGTACTGTTGTTCACCATCTTTTAAAGCCAAGGTATAGCAGAAGAGAGGCATGGGAACATTCATTCATATTTAGTCAGGCGTATTTTTTTTTTTTTTGTGGTCAGTGGTGGCCAGGCTATCTGACTCTGAATGTTCCTACTTAAAATGACAGAGATAGTATAAACAATCTTGTAAGAGTTTCTATGTTCTCTAGCAATCCTACACCTTACTGTGACCCTTGGGTCAGAAACAATCTCAAAATTATGTGTGAAATGTACTTAGAATTAAGAATTGTTTTTTCCATCCTTCAAGACCATCTATGAAAGGTGGCAAAGTAGACAGCGTATCTCTAAGACTATCTAAAAGCAAAACTTCTGGTTGTCTTCTGTATACCACTTAATTTTCTTTCATGTTTTCAAGATGAAGGTATACAAGAAAAGGAAAACTGGGAGATACTGTAAACAGCACAAAAGGGATGGCTAAAGTTTATTTCTTATGAAATAAACTGATATACAGGTCAGACTCCAATATAGTCTATTTCTATAGAGGCCATTCATTATTCTTTAGCTCATTTAAATATGCCCAAAGCACTTCCAATTACAAGAGCATCAACAAGGTACATAAGTAAACAGCTGGTCTCTTGTTTAGGAAACCTTCCATGTGCCCACTGTTCTTTTATTATACTTCTATTATTTGTTGATTATCCTCCCCACAGTGGGAAGATGTTGCTGAAAGAATTGTATTCTGGGTTATGAGAACAATTCAGTGGGCTGTGTTAGTGTTTAAAGTACAAACCAACAAACTTCTTCATAGCAGCTCCAAAAACAAAGTACAAATGGTAGGAAGCAGACTCACTCATCAGTTTTAGATGAACCACAGTAGACAGAGGCTCTATCACATATTTAGGTCAACAGCAGTATCACCTCATATCCCAGCCTCATTTCCCTCAACGAAAAGTGTGAACTTTTTTAAGTACAGCATCTTTTGGTGGGAAATAGGTGATGTTATTTGTTAGTACCTTCAGATGTGCTCGGTAAAAAGATTAGAACAGTGTCAGTCTAAGCCAGGTATTGACACTAGGTAGACAAATGGAATTATTTTTTAGAGCCGGGCGGTGGTGGCGCACGCCTTTAATCCCAGCACTCGGGAGGCAGAGGCAGGCGGATCTCTGTGAGTTCGAGACCAGCCTGGTCTACAAGAGCTAGTTCCAGGACAGGCTCCAAAGCCACAGAGAAACCCTGTCTCGAAAAACAAAACAAACAAACAAACAAAAAAAAGGAATTATTTTTTAGAAAAGGAAAATAGACATCACAAAATAAATAACTCAAAAAAGAGTTGGGAGAGGGCTAAAGAAAAGCAAAGCCACTGCAAGTGGGAGTTGCCTGGTCTGCTGCTGCTTACCCATGACCACCTGCTTGGAGGCTTTGGAGAAGAAACTATCCAAACCACGTCTAAAAAGACTTAGCACTATTGTCACACTCTCAGTCAATTCTAGCTGTGGGCACTAGACCCCTCCTCAGTTTACACATGTACTCTCACTCCTTAAGCTGAGGACAGCTTGGGTCAGTTTACCTGCATCCAGGACCTGTGTTGCATCAGGTTGTGGTTGACAACCTTTAGAGTCTGTGACTGTTGTACATGCGAAAGAATCAAAATCCACTGTGAGGTCTTGCACATTCCTCTCATTCGCATTATCAAAGCTGTTTTTGCCATGCAGCTGTTTAAGGTGTTTCCTCAAAACTGGCTTATGTGCAAAAACCATGTCACAATAGTTACATTTATGGGGCTTATCTCCACTGTGAAGGTTAAGATGGTCCTGCAAGGAACACTTCTGAGAAAAGGTTTTCCCACAGATTTTACACTGGAAAGGTTTAATTCCGGCATGTACACGCATGTGTCGATGAAGATTGCCTTTCTGAGTGAAAGTCTTGCCGCAGAGTAGACACATAAAGAGTTTGTGCATCTTTAAATGGTTGGCGTAGTTCTCCAGGTGACGGAACACCCTGGTACACTTTGGGCATTGGTGATGCCACTGTAAGCCTTTGTCTACACCTCGAATATTAGGCCCAAAAACATCTTTTGAGGTCATGATGATGTCATCATTGCCTGTGTAAGAGAGTGTGTAATTGTGGAGATGGCTCTGGTCTAGTTCACTTACTCTGTTTTCCACAGTTGAGTTTATCAGAGAGTGCTGGGGTTCTGATGAATGTAAAGCAGTGGGTTCAGAAGAAATGTACTGGTTCTGATCTTTTTTACTTCTAACCTCGGATACATCCCCAATAGATTCTACCTTAACAATCTGAATATCACTGTCCTCCATATCCATACTGTCTTCAGATGGATGAACACCAGGTAAGTCCTGTTTTGGAGAGCCTCTGGCATCTCCCTGCTGTTCTTTCGACTGGGAAGAAGCACTTTGTGGTTCGCATCCCTCTTTACTATCCATTGGTTGTTTTGGCTTTATAAATTTCCACAGCGCCTGTGTGCACCGTTCTACAATGTGGCTCATCTGAAGAAAACTCGCAGCAGTCAAGTAATTTACCAGCTCCATCTCAGGGAATTCCAGCACACCACTATAGCACGACAAGAGCAATTGTCTCCCCACTTCAGAACTTTGTAATATGGAGATTTTCACCTCTCGGGAATCATTCAGTAAAAACTGGTCTCTTAAGAAGGGGGAACCTGCAGCAAAAACAATTTTATGCCCCTGCACCTCAACATCATCTATGAGAACCGTAACATCACAAAATTTATTCTCTTCTCTTAATTTGTTCATTTTTTGTAACATTGAATCTCCATAATTTTCAAACTTGAAGTGAAGGAGATCTGATCTTTCAGACATTTTGGCAGACCTAAAGAACAGAAATGTAAAAAAGGTGGAATTTAAGAAAATTTAAGCAATTTAGAAACCTGGATTTACCTTTCAAAACCAAATGTGTTGTCATGTCTGCTTTGTACATATCCAAAAAGCTCTAACAGCTTTCAAAGGTTGTTGATAATTATTCTTTACCAGTATCAGGTGCCAACTGTTCCCGATAAGGAGACACATAGAAATGTAAATAACTGGGCATTCACCAAATTTTTTTAAGACACTTAACACAACAACAATGCTCAAGTTAGTTCAAGAAATTTATTTTTCATGTCTCAAATGAAAAATCTATTAAAAAGAAAACATCATAACCCTACTAACAATGAAGACATTATTTTCTTTTACACGAAAGATGTACCCGCTTTTTCAAAATCACAATGCTTTTTTTGTTTCCTATTTTTATTATTGTTTTGCCTGTATCCATAGCTGTGTGCCTGATCCCCACAGAGGCCAGAAGAGTCAGATTCTCTGGAACTGGAGTTACAGATGGTTGTCAGCTGCCATATGGATGTTGGGAATCAAACTGGAGTCCTCTTGAAAAGAAGTCAGGGCTCTTAACCACTAAGCTATCTCCCTAATCCCTTTCTTTCTATTTTAGAGTTTACAGGGGCACTGTTTGCTGGGAACTGCCACCCTCCTTTTCTGTTTAAACTGGTATGAATTTATTCATATAGCTATTCCTTTGATAAAAGTCACAGACTTAAAAAGACAGTGTTTAGTCACTGGCAAAGACACAATTCTTTATCCTGTGCACTTCAGATAAATCTAAACTCTCTTGTAAGGAGAACAAAACACTATCAGATAAACCAGTCAGTGGGGTCTTACTGGATTGTCCTTTACTTCTGACCTCTATGTGTACGTCATTTCTATGTGGACTACTAGCATTGACTCCTAAATGTTTTCCTTGGATTCCAACTCCTCTTTTCTGAAACTCAACATATACACCACATTTCAAAAACAGTAGGTTATATCTAACCCATCTAAATTTCTACTCAGTGTCTTTTGGATGAAGGTTAGCTTTTTGGTTATAAGTCAATTAACTAAAACTAATAAAGGTAAATACTGCTATAACACAGTCAATCACAGAGAAGGTTTCTTTGCCAAAACTCCCGCACAGGGTTCAGAATATCCAGAATATGTATATCTCAGTAGCAGATAATCTGCCTAGTCATTATGTGAAGCTGGGTTCAATCCACAACACTGTTAAAAATAAGCAAATGAAACTAATTCTGCATATTGTTCTGTTCATAAGACAAATCTTTCCTGTGAAAGTCCTCATGTTCTGATTCATTCTTTCCAGGTTTTCTCATAACTAGGCTTCTCATGTATATTTCTAAGAGGGTAGGACGAATTAGTCACATCAATACCGTAATCTAGTCTACTAATCACAAAAATAACTAGCATTCCTTTCCTTTCCTTTCTTTCTTTAATATTTAGTTTTTTATTTGGTTTTTCAAGACAGGGTTTCTCTGTGCAGCTTTGGAGCCTGTCCTGGGACTTGCTCTGTAGACCAGGCTGGCCTTGACCTCACAGAGATCCACCAACCTCTGCCTCCAGAGTGCTGGGATTAAAGGTGTGTACCAAGTCCGGCTCTGGTATTCTCTTTTAAGAAATCAGTTTTCTAGCCGGGCGGTGGTGGTGCATGCCTTTAATCCCAGCACTCGGGAGGCAGAGGCAGGCGGATCTCTGTGAGTTCGAGACCAGCCTGGTCTACAAGAGCTAGTTCCAGGACAGGCTCCAAAACCACAGAGAAACCCTGTCTCGAAAAATCAAAAAAAAAAAAAAAAAGAAAGAAATCAGTTTTCTATCAGGTCAGTAAGATTGTCACTTCTGTCTTTCAAAAGCAGTTCTATAATCTCAGCAGGTTAGGAACTCCAGTTTGAATCCTGTGTACTCCACAGCCATTTACTTCATAGTCAAATGACACAGCCAGATTTTCCTGGATACATTAAGATTTTGTTTTTCGTTTTCGTTTTGTTTGTTTTTGAGATAGGGTCTCTCTGTGTAGCCCCAGCTGTCCTGGAACTCTCTTTGTAGATCAGGCTGGCCTAGAACTCAGAGATCCGCCTGCCTCTGCCTCCTGAGTGCTGGGATCAAAGATGTGAACCACCATGCCAGGCATCACATCTAAATTCTGAAGCCTAAAATTCATAATCTTATTATTTCAAAGTGTCAGCTCCTGATGTTTGTTATTCCTCAGTGCTTGGTAGATAATGTATCATCTACTTGCTCAAAGCTTGTCACACACATTGCACTAATCTAGAACATTGCATTCTAGCCAGTCTAGCGCTGGTTCCTGACAGGCACTTTTCCAACCACTTAGAGAAAAAGAATTGTCTCTAGGGCCCTTAGCACAGTACTTCTACATAACACTCAAAATCCTTTATCAAATAATTCCTTCCTGTTCAAACATAAATTCCCTGGCATTAGGCAGCAACATACACATCTTATGTCATGGGGCCAAAGCTGGAAACAGTTTGCTTTCACCTCAAATTCTTACTGTAGTCACCCTGCTTCTTCCACTGCTGACCAAACTCTCCTTTGTTCAAACTGGTGCACATCATATCAAACACACAGGAAGGGCTCAGTGTGCAGCAGTGAAACCTACAGCATTGTTAAGTAGACCAGGTCTTCTTCCATGAGTGAGGCCACAAGGGCCTAGAAAGGAATGAAAATGGAAATAAGAAATAAGCAAAAAAATAGTAAAAGGTATTTCAGAGAACTTGATAACTGATAATGAGAATAAAAGACAAAGAAGGAAAACCAAAAACAAACAAAAAACCCAATGGCACACTAAGTACTCAGAATCTGAGATAGGTAGATTGTAAGAGCCAGGTTAGTCTGAGCTACATAGTGAGATCCTATCTCAAAAAATTCTAAATCTGAGTTTAGCTGAATGTCACAGGAAGGGTACCCATTTAGGAGAGTGTGTCACATGTATGTTAATAATCACCAACCGTGTAAGGTTTTCTCCGGGATGGCATTCTGAATGTGGGGATAATAAATGATGGCAATAAAGGAACTGCATGGAGAAGAGGAATGCAGAGAAGCAAATACAGCAGAGAAATCAATGAGTTTCAAACAAGGGGAAATCTAGAAAACAGGGAATTTTATCAGTATTTGGAAGCAAACAAACAGTATTATCACTGGTCAGTTTTAGTGGCAGTAGCTTAAAAATTTCATTCTGTAACTGGAACAGTGAATGTTCCCATTTAACCAGAAGTTATAAAAATGACCATTGTTTCAAGTGGCTAAACAAAACCAGCCTTGTCTTTTTAGAGTTGAGCTGGTCTTGAATTCACTAAAGCAGTATTTTCCTAGTCACAGTAAAAAACAAATTGTTTCCAGCTAGAGTATAGCAGTACTCAGAATGTTTAAATGTCTTTGGGGAAACTTGAAACTTGTTCCTTGTTTCTCTACTGAGGAGCCCAAGTATGGTTTCATTTAATCCGACTCCTGAGTTCTCAACAGAACAGTCAAACAGGCGTCTCAAAACAAACAAACAAACAAAACCTTGCTTTGATCTTCCTGCTGCAGTCCAAGAAAGTTCGGGAAGTCTATTGTTTACTTTAGGAAGTTTTTTCCTAATATCTATCAGCCCAATTATCCCTTTAATAATCTATTCCCAGGTCATATAATTTCATCATTAGCTATTTTCTGTCATTATCCACTTTGCCAATAGGACGTTAGTTATTTGAGGACACGAACCAACTGTTTATTTCACTTTACACTGCTTATTAAACAAAACACAGCACTATAGTAACTCCTTGATATTTGCTGTGAAATTATTATTTACCTATAAGAGATGATTTTTTAATACCATGATATCCTGTTTGTTTGGGTTTTTTTGAAGATTTTATTATGTATACCGTGTTCTGCCTGTATGTGTGACTACAGACCAGAAGAGGGCACCAGATCTCATTATAGACGGTTGTGAGCCATCATGTGGTTGCTGGGAATTGAATTCACGACCTCTGGAAGAGCAGCCAGTGCTCTTAACTGCTGAGCAATCTCTCCAGCCCTGATATCATCTTTTGAGGACCCGGAGAACTCTTTAGATTATGAAGACCCAAATTTGCAATACCTTTTTTTAAAATAGAAAAAAATTCGTTGCAATAATTGATTGCTCAGTAGTAGAATGTATATTTAATAGAAATGGAATCCTAGGTTTAATCCCAGCACCACATATATATGAGCAAATAGGTAATATAAAAGTAAATGTATACGCACAGACAACCAAGCAAGTTAATATAAAATTATAGTAATCTACAGTGGTAGTTTTTGGGGGTTGGCACACACCTTTAATCCTAGTACTCAGGAGGCAGAGGCAGGCATATCTTTGTGAGTTTGAGGCCAACCTGGTCTACAGAGTGAGTTCCAGGACAGCCAAGGCTGTGCAAAGAAACTCTATCTTGGGGTAATATGTATTTATACATACATGTATGTATGTATGTATGTATGTGTGTATGTATAAAAAAATCACCTAACAGGATTCGTTCCTTTTATAAAATGATACCTAATGTCTTCTAAATTCATATCACATTTCAAATATACTGCTAAAGGCTTTATCTAAATTAATTCATTTAGTCCTGAAAGTCTCTACTGTTAGGTTATTACTATCTCTGTTTGAAAAAAACAAAGCTGAGAGAACATAAATAATATGCTGAAATTAATAGAGATAAAATGGCTAATTGTTAGAGCTGAAACTTGTGCTCGAGCTATGAATCAACACAGAAAAGAAATGGACAATCACAGTTTAGCTTAAGGATTTATCTGAACTGTTTAGTGGTTCAGATTTCCTTCTCATATTGGATATTACCAAGGAAATCTATGAAGCACTACATTGTGATCTGTAGACTTTTATATTTTAGTTATATTTCAGTAAAAAAATGTTGGAGGAAGTGGGCTGGCCTCTTTTCTGGCTGCGGGATTCAGTTGTTGTTCTCCATTCCAGCAGAGGATACTGACTTGTGAATCTACCCCTAAATAAATAATCCTCTATTAGTTTCAATTCTGAGCTAGTGTGGGATTTCTTTTAAGCATCCATCTTCAAAAAAATTCACATCTAAAAGCAAAATGTATAAATTAAACCAAATTTATAGTAAATAGAGAAGATAATGACAAGCCATGTATGTACTGGCTAACACTACTAATACATACATAGACTCCTGCGTGCATCTTATGTCTTTATCCTCCTACTACTGATCTCAGAGGTTTTGTTGCATTTTTTTAGACTTATTTTATTTTTATTAATATGTATTGTGTCTGTCTGTATGTATATGTGTATGTGCATGCAGGTGCCAGTGGAGGCCAAAAACCAATAGATAGAGAACACAGAAAAATTATCAAAATAACTAAATATTTTGGCTCAAGTGCCTGGGTATATTTGAGTGTCATTCAGTAATCTAGAGAACACTAAAGGGACAATCCTAAGGCTGGTCATTAAAATGTGCACAGGGGTCCTTTGAGGCACCAGAATAAAATCTAGTAATCTGTTTAGAAACAGGCCTGACGCTATAAAAAAAACCTCAGTATAAATTGTAAATAAATTGTAAATGAAACTTTACATTGGAGTAAAAGAAATAAATACTTAAGTTAGCACAGAGTGGAAGAGGACCTAGGACAGAAGAAAAAAAGCATATATACAATATAATATAAACTCATCACTTACCACTTTCAACTTCGCTATCCTTGTAGGTCTAACCAATAAGCCTATCTTTCCTCACAATGTTTCTACTCCTTGACTCCTATATAGTCACCACATAGCACAGTAAGTAAAGCATGAACTCCGAACTTCAATATCTAAGGTTAAAAATCAGTTCCAGGACAGGCTCCAAAGCTACAGAGAAACCCTGTCTCGACCCCTCCCCGCCCCCGACAAAAAATGTCATTTACTAGCTTTTTGGCCATGGGTGAAATACTTATTCAGTCTGTTTCAGCTTTCTTGGCAATCAATAGCAAATTACTTTATGGGACTGCTAAGGGAAATTAAGCTCATAATTAAAGAAGATTTTATTATTTTATATCATGAATGTTCTGCCTGAATGTATATACCTAATTTGCATGGTGTCAGTGGCGGTAAGAAGATATCAGATTCCCTGGAATTGGAGTTATGGACGGTTGTGAAGCATATCAGTCCTGAGAATTGAACCAGTAAGTCATTTCTCCAGCCCATTAGTCCATTTTCAAAAGAGCTCAGGATGGTGTCTGTTATGTGCTCTTTAAACATGTGTTGAGTATCCAGACAGTGGTAACACACACCTTTAATCCCAGCACTGGGGAGGCAGAGGCAAGCAGATCTCTGAGTTTAAGATCAGCCTGGTCTATAGCACGAGTGCCAGGACAGGCTCCAAAGCTACACAGAGAAACCTTGTCTCCAAAAACCAAAATAAAAATTAAAAAAAAAATGTTGAATAAATAAACAAGTAAGGTCTTTGTGAAATCCTTCACGTTTTTTTCCCCCAATTGATGGCTCTGGTATTTTATATTGCATTACCTCATCTACTAAAATTAATTTTTACCAGGTCACTGATAGCCTGTTAATTAAAAAAAAGATACTTTCTTTTTTCTTTCTCATTCCCCAGTGGCTGAGCACCATCCAGTGGACTCTCTTCCAAATTCTTTCCTGATAGCAGGTCTCCATAGTTGCGTCCGCCCTGTGTTCTTGGGCTTGCTTTTCTACCTCTCTCTGTGTGCTCTAATTTGCTTTTCTGCTTCACCTATAACCATCATCCTTCAAATCACATTTTTTCAGTGTGCAGTCCTTGATACCAACTTTTCTCATGGTGTCTGCTGACATGCCAATTTTCAAATATTTTACCTGTAGCCCCAATATTTAGGCTGATCTCCACATTTGGAGATCAACTCCTAAGCTGGACAGTTATATGTGGTTAACCCTTTAGACAGAACTCAACATAAACAGAAAATGAATTTGTATTTCTTGCTAGCCTTATGGTTTTATTTCTGATTATGGCACCACCATTTTTTAAATGTCAAGTACTTAATACTTAGGGGTTTTTCCTCCTTCAATGTATGACTATCTACATTAGCACTTTTTTTCTCTATTTTAGATTTTATTGCATCTCACCAGGAAGAACTCAATATTCTTTCAAAATAATCACCAACAGAAGTGTATTCTAGCTAAGAGAGATCACCAACAGAAGTGTATTCTAGCTAAGAGAGATCACCAACAGAAGTGTATCTAGCTAAGAGAGATCACCAACAGAAGTGTATCTAGCTAAGAGAGATCACCAACAGCAGTGCATTCTAGCTAAGAGAGCCGGATTCAGCTACTTTCTATTCCACCGGCTTCCCAGAAAACAATGACTTTCTGCAAATACAACCATGTCAGTTTTCTGCTCAAAGAGTTTAAAAAAGATAATCCATCTCCTTTTATGATTAATTAAACCTTTCACTATCTGGACTTCATCTTATCGGGTTCAAATTCCATCTTATGCACACAACCTCCCTACTTCTATTCCTTTTTCTTTTCACACACACTCTATTACATCTCAGTAGTACTGAAACTTTCCCTTTTGCCGCAAAAGTACTTCCACGAAGTAGAATTTAGAAGCCACTTTCTGCCGGCTTCCCTCAACTGTCCCTACAGCAGCTAATATAAGTAACCAATTGCATACCCCGACCCGGATACGAGCATCGATTTGTTCAGATATCGTTTCCAAACGAGTATGAATACTAGATATGTGATGACCCTCCACTGTTTGGCATAGCGACAGTAATACAAAAGGTGCTGTAGCCAGAGGCTGAGCAAGGGCAAAACCCCTCAAAGTCTGGCACTTACAGCAGTCTCGCAGTCGGCACTGAAGGCCTTGCCTTGGCTAGCTCCCGCGGTTCAGTTTTCTGCTGGCCTCAAGTCCAGCACTTTTTACAAAATGCCAGAGTCTGGCGTCCTGGCCAGTCACAGGGTCCTAGGAAGAGGGTCCCAGAAGGCGGTCCCTGGGGCATCCTGAGACTCCCCACTGCAGATTCGGTAAGGGGAAGAGCGTGGGATGCATCACGGGCCGGTCCGAGGCTTAAGTCCCCCGGGGGCCTAGACCAGCACCTCGACTGGCATCCCAGGGCAGATCACGGCCAAACCAGATCCCCAACGGGGGCTCCATTTCCAGAGACCCCGCACCCCAGCCCGGCTCTCCGTTCGCCTCCGAACTTACAGACCCGGGGGGAAGGCCGCCGTCTGGATCTGGCACCGTCTAGAGCTCCAGCCCCTCGGGGCTCCGGGAAGGGGGAGGGGCAGGCAACCTGAGCCAAAGGGGGACCCAACGGAACCGGAAGGGCAGCCCTGGCCGGACAAAGACAACTTCCAGGTCCCATGGTCATCTCCGCCAATCGGAATGCTCGGAGGACGACGAGCCCCTGAGAGGGACTTCCCGCGTTGTGGGCGGGGCACAGGCCAAGGCTGGGGAGTCGGCTGCGGCTGCGGAGTATCTGTCTCTTCGGTTCGCTCTGCAGCTTCGGGTCTTCCGTGGGATGCGTGTCTCAGCTCTGTTCTCGGTGACTGTCGTCACGCAGGGCTCACACCGTCCGCCTCCTGCATGGGCCTGAACAACCTGCCTGCGCACAAGCCGTGGTAAGTCCCTCCCGCCCTGGGATGTGGACTCGCCGCGTGGGAGCCTGGAGCGCCTAAAGCTGTTGGTTTCCCTCCCTTGTGGATACTGGTGTTTCTTAGGGACTCTTTCTTATGTGTTCCGGGCCAATCTCTTGCCTTCCATAGCTTCGGTTACCCTAGAGGTTCACAGATCTCTCGTTAGCCTGAAAACGTCTCTTGAGCTCCAGTGCCAACCATCTAGAAAAATTTAGTGTTGATTGTCCAGTGTTTTAATGTGCCTGTTTGAATCAAGTTCAAGCCCAGGCCTACCCAGCTATACTTCTTGGTTTTTGAAAGGAATCATCCTCGTACTCTTCCCGATGAGAAAATTTGAATATCTTTCTGAATCCCCTTTGCTTTGCCAATCCACTTGTTTGCTGCGTGATTATCTTCATTTATTTTTTTACCCTTTGGGAGCGTTATTATGTAAAAAACAAAATAATTGTCATTTTAATCAATTGCCAATCCAAAGTTAAGTGGCCTTGTGCAATGTTGTGTAACCACTACTAACTATTCCCGCTTTACTTTTCTATTTTGTGGACATCTACGTTTTGTAACGCGTTAAAAACCTTTCGCCACTGAGTGTATTTGTTGAAAATCAACAAGAGTTGTCAAGAGTACAGTGATCTATATATTTATCCATACTATTACCATACTGCTTTGCAGGCAATTTTTTGCATTTATTATTCATCTTTCTTTAAGACTGTTTTGGTTCTTGGAGATATTTGGCACCTCCATTTGAATTTGGTAGCAGGGACTGAACCAAGGGCTTTCTTGGTGCTACACAAGTACTCCACTACTGAGCTACATCTCTAGCTCTATTTTTGTATTGACTTGAGGATTGACTTTACCATTTCTTGGGAAAAGGCTTTTGGAAATGGGGTTTTATGGAATATGTAGGTTGCATTGGATAGTGTTAAGATTTTGATGCCTACCCGTACATAAACACAAGATGCTTCTTTCTTTAAGTCTGTATTAATTGCTTTCAACAATTAGTTTTTTGGCATTATTGGTTCATTCACACTTTTTGTTGTTTGTTGTTGTTGTTTACCGAGACAGGGTTTCTCTATGTAACCCTGGGTGCCCTAGAACTCACTCTGTAGACCAGGATGACCTCAAAATTACAGAGGTCCCCTTGTGTCTGCCTCCCAAGCGCTGGTTTCAGAGTGTAAACCACCACCACTGCCTGGCTTCATTCACACATTGGATTTGCTTATTTAATTTTCTTTTCATATTTCTTATTGCTAGTGTCCAAAAATGGTTTTTAAAAAACACGGATTTTTTTTTCATATGTTGGTCTAACGGTTGCAGTTCACTTATTCTGGTAGTTCTCTTGTGGCCTCTTTTGATTTTCTACTATAGATTGGTGTAATCTATGAACAAAGATCATTTTACTTTTCCAACAGGATGCTTTTTCTTTTTCTTGTCTAATAGTAGTTCTAGCAATTAGTACAATGATGAATAGGAGTAGTAACAGTAAAGTAAAAGTGGGCATCCTTGTTTTATTTCTGATGTTAAGAGGAATTTTTTTTTTTTTTTTTTTTTTGGTTTTTCGAGACAGGGTTTCTCTGTAGCTTTGGAGCCTGTCCTGGAACGTGTGCTGTAGACCAGGCTGGCCTCGAACTCACAGAGATCCGCCTGCCTCTGCCTCCCGAGTGCTGGGATTACAGGCGTGCGCCACCACCGCCCGGCTAAGAGGAATTTTTTATGCCTTAAATTATTAAGTGTTTCACTATGAGTTTTTCATAAACACCTTTGCCATGTTGAAGAATTTTCTGCCCATTATTTTGTTGTATCAATGTATTCTGTTGATTGATGTTGTTGAACTACCTTGCGTCCATGAAGTAGGCTGAATCCTACTTGGTCACGGTGAAATTCTTTTAATATGCTTTTGGGTTTCATGTATTTATAGTTTGCTGATTATTTTTAGAACAAGTCTTCAGTGGTACTGATCTATATTTTTATTTATTTATAATGCATTTGACTGATTTTGGTGTCAGTAATACTGACTGCATAGAATGTATTAGGAAGCATTCATTCCTAAATTTTTTGTAAAAGTTTCAGGAAAACTCTGCTAATTCTTCCTTTAAACATTTAATAGAGCTGGGCAGTATGGCACATACCTTTAATCCCAGCCCTTGCTAGGAAGAGGGAGGTAGATCCTGTGAGTTCAAGCACAGCTTGGTCTACAGAGTGAGTTCCACGACAACCAGGATGTTACACAGAGAAATCCTGTCTTGAAACAAAACAAAACAAAACAAAACAAAAAACATTTAATAGAATTCATTGATGAGACTGAACAGTGTGAGACTTTACTTGTTGGGAAATTTTTATTTCTAAATAAATCTCTTTATTTGGTATAGGGTTATTGAGGCTTTCTCTTGAACCAGTTTAGTTCCTTTATTTATTTCAAGTGATGTGTCCTTTTTTTTTTTTGCTCTCTAATTTTTGACATGTAGTTATTACAATACTCTCATTTTAAAAATTATAATGTTAATAGTAATATATCCCTGGTTTTATTTCTTCTTACAGTTATTTGTATATTGTCTCTATTCTGATTATTCTGACTGTCAATTTTGTTGGTCTTTTTTTATAATTTTTGTTGATTTTTTTCTCTTGCTTTTTTTCAACTGCTTTGTCTCTTATTTGATCTTTAATTTTTTAACTTTTTTATATGAAAACATATTTATTGACTGAATAATAAAACTTAGGTTAAGGGGTGTCTAGAATTAGACTTCCCCCTTGAGATATAAGTTTCCAATAAGCAAAAAAAAGCAATACTTCCCGATCCCAAAAAGAAAGAATACACTGGAAGCCTAAATCATAGACAGTGAGGGGTGTATTCCAGCAGTCTGTTTCTTTGATGGTACTAATTTTTATGTTAGCTTTGCTTCTTTGTTTTGTTTGTTTGTTATGATATAGGATCTCTCTTTGTGGGCCTGGTTGTCCTAGAACTCCCTGTGTAAACCAGGCTAGCCTCAAACCCATAGAGATCTACCTCTGACTGCCAAGTTCTGGGATTAAAGACCATACCTGGTTTGCTTTATATATTATGTCTTTTTGTAGATCTTTGAAAAATAAGGTCTAGGTTTTTTATCTGAAGTTTTTTTTTTTGTTATTGTTGGTTTGTTTCTTTTGTTGTGTTTTTGAATTTTGAAACCGGGTTTATCCTAAACTGGCAACAATCTCACTATTTAGACAGAGATTGGCCCTGAATTTGTTATCCTCTTGCCTCTACCCTTCAAGGACTGGGATTATAAGTATGCACCCACCTCTGATTTCTATTTTAAATATAAACTTTAAATTTCCTTCTGATGATTGCCATAACTATAGCTTATAAAATTAATATGCACATTATGTTTGTTTATTTCTAAATATTTTATAATTCCTTTTGATCTCCTATCACTCATTGGTATTGTTTCTATATGTTTATGATGATTCTAGTTTTCCTCTTCTTGTTGATTTCTAACTTTATTCTGTTATGTTGACAGGAAATCTGTAGTTTGTTGTTGTTTTATTACTCCTTTGGCTCTTTGCTCTCTGGGAGCCTGTCATGGCAGCTCCCAAATAAACACACACACACACACACACACACACACACACACACACACTTGTTCTTACTTATAAATGCCCGGCCTTAGCTTGACTTCTTTCTAGCCAGTTTTTCTTAACTTAGATTACCCATCTACCTTTTACCTCTGGGCCTTTTTCTTTTCTTACTTTTATAATTTTATTTTCGCTCTTACACCCCATCAATGGCTGGCTGTGAGGCTCACCCCTTCTTTTCTTGCTCCTCAATCTCTCTTCTTGCTCCTCCTTCCTCTATTCTTCTCCTTTTATTTATTCTCTCCGCCTGCCAGTCCCATCTATCCTTTCTTCTGCTTTGTTATTGTCCATTCAGCTCTTTATTAGACCAATCAAGACCAATCAAGTGTCACAGTAACAGACACAGTAACACAGCTTCACAGAGTTAAACAAATGCAATTAAAAGAATGCAGCACATCTTTGCATCATTATACAAATGTTCCATAGCATAAACAAATGTAACGTGTCTTAAAATAATATTCCACAACAAAGATCCTTTGTGGACTTGTAAAATCCACAAGGGCTTGTGTTTTGGTCTAACATGTTGTCTCTCTTGGTGATTCTTGTATATAGACTTGAGAACAATGTGTATTTTGTGATTAACATATGGAATGGTTTATACATACATGCTAATAACTCTAATTATCCCCTTCACTGTCCTGGAACTCACTCTATATAGACCAGGCTGGCCTTGAACTCTGACTCCGCTGGAATTTAAGGCAAGTGCCACCACTAGCCAGCAGAAAGACTTATCTTGACTCATGGTTTCAGAGTTTTCATGGTTTCATGGTCACAAGGATGTAACAGAGCCCAGCAGCCACAGGATGAATACGTTAGCTCGCTCTTTTATTCTCCCACCTCCCAAAGTTGGGGGTTAAACCCAAGGCCTTGGTTATTTCTTTTGTTCATTGGGATAGAAGCACAGGCCAGCTACCATTTTTTTTTTGTCCATTTTGATATAATTTTTAGGAGTTTTAAGGGAATAACATTGTATTGTTTTCCTTTTACTCTATTTGGAATCAAAGATTAGGACATTGAAAAGCAACTGTTTGTGTGAAGCAAAGTAGACAACTGCTGTGCTGATCAGGGAGGACACAGGCTTGTTGGGGGAGGCTGCTCGTTTATTCCCAGATGTCCGGACCAGAAATAAACACAGAAACCATATTATTTGTAGTACTGTTGGGCTAATAGCTTAAGCATATTTCTAGCTAGCTATCTTAAATTAACCCATTCTATTAATCTGTGGCTTACCAGCAAGGTTTCAGCGTGTCTGTCTCCTGCTGCGGGTACATGGTGTCCCTGACTTCGCCTACTTTCTCTATATATCTTTTTCAGTCTGGCTTTATTCTGTTAAGCCATTGGCTGAAAGCAGCTTCTTTATTAACCAATAGCAATAA